TGGCAAATGGAGCGTTCTTAGACTATGCATGGTAGCGAGCATTTGTTTCTGATCTGTACGAAACGATTACGGAATATTGGGCTGGGTGAGTGGCACCCACGAAAATATAATGAGTTTTTGAAACGTACAGCAACGTTATGAGCATGATCAAACCACTCAAGTAATCGTGATTTGCCGGGTTTGAAGAAGTGTAGAATAAAACGAACAATCCCAGGGAAGTTTCTAACTGAAGTGGGAAAATCAAACTTGAAACAACAGTCATCCCAGTAATAACACGCTAGAAATTTACGAAAACCGAACCAGTCGGATGGATCGTAACGCCAAAAGATATGTCTGGCGTTCTGTGGTGAAATGGGATGAAAGAACTGATTGACAAAGGAAATCAGGCAATGGTCTAATCAGTCTCTAGGAGAAAGAAGTGATACAGGAGAATGAAAAAGAACTAGATGTAAGAATGGAATCAAGGGTGTAAGGGTGGTCTCCAATACAATGGGGGATTTGTTTCGGGAGGTCCACCAGTTGACTCAGGTGTTTGACCATAAAAACTGCCTCGGCTTCGCGCGCCCTAATGAAAGTGTATGGCGAGTGCATTAGCCATTCCATTCGTTCCGTAAAGTCAATGTTTAGAATGGCCGCCGTGGTCGATTAGAAGTTGGTGTGGTTTTGTTTTACACCACGGGTTCGCCTTATCCCCCTTTTCCTTTTGAATTTGCAGTACCTCATACTTTATCCATCTCAAACTTATCACACAATAAACAGCCAAAATGAAGAGGTTTTTGTTCCCAACCCGTATGCCTCGGGTACCACTCACCCAGAAACGGTCTCCCTTTTTTATCGTTATCTGCATTTGTTGCTCACAAACATCTGATCCCGGCCACGTGCTAACTTCTGGCTACCTCAATTGTGTCCGTCGTCTTGTCGTTTTGCTGATACTTTCAACCAAGGAGGTTAGCGAATAGCTGATATGCACCCTAAATCTGTTTTGCTTGCTGTAACTTGTGTGATAATTCGGACATCAATTGCACATAATATAATCCTTTGTCACCCCCACCCCATGACAATCCGTATTCTTATCTCCATCATCCAGGCCCCGCTCCAACTTGGATCAAGAGTTCAAGTAGCGGTCGTGCTACCTTTGCAAATGAACCGAACCGTACAAATCGGCTCCGACCGAGCCAGTCACAACAGTTACCGACGGTTTCCGATTTTCCTGGTCTACCTGTTGATTTCAGTCGCTCCGTACATGCCTCCGGTAAGACCCGGGCGTTTTTCCTTCCATTCTGTTTCAAGACACACACACTTATTTGAAGTCGTTGGTGATAGGTGGCAGCAACTTCTGAGTGCATTGCTTATTTTTGTCTGAGTAACGAGTAACGGTAACTGATCGAGCACATCGCCATCAGTTACCGCTGTAGGGGATCGATTCAAGACAGCGGCTGTTACTGGTTAACACCTATGGATAGAGACCACCCTTGTTACGAGCTAAATTCTCCTTATGCCTGGCAAACAACCACAAAAAACACGGATAACGGATACTCGCGATACAGTGTCCGTGATTGCTGCAAAGCGGCCTTCGAAGCCGAGCTCTCCGATCGCCTCAGTTCAACCCCCAACCGAAGGACTCGATGAACGTTGGAAGCAAATCAAGGGAGCTATACATGTATCGAAATAAACAAAGTCGGTGCAAGCTCAAGACACAAACGATAGATCTCGTCATCCTCGGCTGGCCTGCTAGACGCCCGCAGAACCCTCCCGCGGCAGTTCGGCCATTTCTCCTATACGGCGCAGAAACTTGGCCATTAAGAAAACAGGATGAAGGTAGACTGTCTGCATGTGAACACTGCTATCTACGCAGCATTGCTCGAATCTGGTGGGGCAGCTGGACGAGCAATGCTGAGATTACGCGCAGTTTTGGGTAACCGCAGTCGTCCAAAGGAGCAAATGGTCAACCTCCATAGATTGTGCTGGTTGGGGTATGTGTTACCCATATCACCAGATAGGTTGCCAGGGCGAACGATGTTCGCCGAGGCAGATAGCGGTTGGAAAAGGGCAAGGGTGGTCAAACGAAGACCTGGCATGAGGGTATGAAAACTAACCAGGAGACTAGGTCACATAGGCCCCGTTAGACTCCCTGGTTGGGGACCTCGGGACGGTCGTAACCGATGGTTAGATACACTGAGTGATATGCCTAGATATCGTAAACAGTAGCGTTCGTGCATCTTCTCAGTTTCTTTGCAACCTTAGACTACTGAACTTCTCCATTTTATGTTCGACTCTTTAACGTTTCCTTTAACGTTCCTGTCTTTCTCCTATTCTTCATCCAAATGGGCAGCCAATTGACGGCAACCAAAACCACCGCCCAAAAGTTGCATGATTAATGGTTGTTCAAACTTAAACGAGTTGTTTCTGAAGGATACGTTCGTAGCAATGTGTTAGTGATATCCGCCGTAAAGTTCACCGTTCAGTGCTCTCACTTGTTAATCAGAAAAGGATGAAGGCAGCCGCAGAGGCGCAGTTTAGTTATCGAAGTACTCATCTGACTATATATGGTGCCATACTGGTATGTGTTGAAAGTTGCTTTCAAGATACTCAGTTCCCCTGTTGAATTTCATTATTGCCAGCTCTGTTTTCGTGATCATAAGGGTTTGCTCCGCGTAACGTCGTAGCGTGCTTCTCTGATCCGGCGAGTTTCGTAGGTTGACTCTCTTGATTGAAAATAATCAGAGTTTTAATTTTGATTTCGCTTTTAGTTTTTTAGCCTTCACATGTGGATTCTTTATCTTGGTTATCAGTCTGTCGACAGAAGCTTCCCAGCAAACAGTTAGTATCTTGTAGCGGTCAGCAAGACACTAGGATTTTAAACTGATCATCGCGATTGTCTGCAGTCAGGCAACGGTTTAATACTGACTAAATATTTTTATATCAAGACGTGCTTCACAACTTCCAAGCATCCTCTCCATCAGCTCGATGGTTAATCCCTACGCCGTGGCGACACCAGTACCGCACGACTCTGTCATGAACCAATTAAATGTCCCCATCATTGAGAAATCTCGTTGTTTGTAATATGCCTTTAGGAAGAACTTACTGATTTTTTGTTCGAGTGATTCTTTGTACCATATAGTTAACTGATTGATGAACAGGTGTCATACCACGCATGAAGGCTGAAGCCAACCACGAGAGATGGGTAAAAGACCACACATGTAGACTGCTGAACCTTGAGTGAGTGCACAATCGTCAAAAGAAGAAGTCATGAACGGTTTTTGATTGACGGAAGAGTTACTCCTTTCGTTTTCCTGAAACGCCTCTCAGATCACATCGTAAGCAAACAAAAAGTGTACTTTCATTTATCCTGCTTGAAATGACAACTTAATTTGTATTTGCAAACATGATCAGATTTTATTGTGGTCTGACAGTATCTCCTAAAGTTCGGTATAACTTCTGTGTTCCTCTGTTGACAATTATAGGGGCATCCACTTGGATCGTACCGGAAAGAGCACCCCCGATGGACTCTAGTTTAGTCAACCACGCCTCAGGATCCCAAATCAAAACGCCAAAACCCACTGCTCCGACCGCCGCGGATTTTCCTGACTTACCGAGTCCCAGGTCATGCGGTGTCAGCTCCGGGTTGCACACAGATTCGCGCACCCCACTGTCGCCGTTCGCTCAAAAGACCGGATTGCAAGCACCTGCACCCAAATCAAAACGCGGCTCGACGAATCGTCGCCAACAGAGACTGACCATGACTGATCCTGATCCTTTGACAAAGACATCGGCTCCAGTACTAACCAGCGCATCAATACGATCACGGCAGCACAGAAATGCCGATATTCGGTTCGCTTTGACTGCCACGGGCATTCTAGAGGTAAATACCTATACGTACATAACTAGTTATTTACATATAAAAAATGAAACATGGTTAGTCGATATCCACCACAACAAATACACCTGTTTTTTAATTATTTTTTTCACACACGTCTGAATCCAGACAATATGCCAAACAAATTATGGTACAGCATGTAATCTTTATGAAAAAGTAAAACGTTCCATGATTTGCATGTGGGTGGAATACTGACATGTTACCCAGAACAAGGCAGTAGAATTTTCTTTAGGAATCCGCAACCGAAGCCTTTGGCTAGCCAAAGTCTGACCAGAAAGGCGGCAAGGCGGTGTGCGCAAACCGCAATCCATTGGGGGCCGGTGTTCAGTTAATTGGATCATACGCCCTTCAGGCATGGTCGAACGTCCAAGGTGCCCTATACAGCTCTATGCGCAATCAAACCGGTTATAACTTCCACACCAAGGAGGTTGTGTGGTTTGTACGCCTTCTCTCGGTTAGTTTGGTATCAGGGATTTTGGCTCATCTCTCCTAGGTGAACTACCATT